GTCCGCATGCGTCCCCCCGCCCATTTCGGCACCCCCCTTCACGAAGATCGTGGCCCCACAGGGAGCTCCACCGAAGGCCCAACGGCAGGGTCCGCATGCGTCCCCCCGCCCATTTCGGCACACCCCTCACGAGGATCGTGGCCCCACAAGGAGCTCCACCGATCGGCCCCAGTGGCAGGGTCCGCATGCGTCCCCCCGTTCATTTCGGCACACCCCTCACGAGGATCGTGGCCCCACAAAGGACTCCACCGAAGGCCCCAATGGCAGGGTCCGCAAGCGTCCTCCCGCTCACGTTGGCACACCATTCACAAGGTTCGTGGCTCCATAGGGAGCTCCACCGAAGGCCCCAACGGCAGGGTCCGCATGCCTCCCCACCACCCATTTCGGCACACCCCTCACACGTTTCGTGGCCCCATAGGGAGATCCACCGAAGGCCCTAGTGACAGGGTCCTCATGCCTCCCCACCACCCATTTCGGCACACCCCTCACACGTTTCGTTGCCCCATAGGGAGCTCCACCGAAGGCCCCAACAGCAGGGTCCGCATGCGTTCCCCCGCCCATTTCGGCACACCCCTCACGAGGATCGTGGCCCGTAGGGGGCCCCGACAGAGGCCCAAGCGGCAGGGCCCGCATGCGTCTCCCGTTCATTTCGGCACACCCCTCACAGTGATCGTGCCCCCATAGGAAGCTCCACTGAGGGCCCCAGCGGCAGGGTCCGCATGCGTCCGCCCGCTCATTCGGTACGAACCTCACAAGGATCGTGGCCCCCTAGTGAGCTCCACCGGTGGCAGGGTCCGCATGCGTCCCCCCGCGCATTTTGGCACACCCCTCACGAGGATCGTGGCCCAACAAGGAGCTCCACCGAAGGCCCCCGCGGCAGGGTCCGCATGCGTCCCCCCGTTCATTTCGGCACACCCCTCACGAGGATCGTGGCCCCACAAAGGACTCCACCGAAGGCCCCAATGGCAGGGTCCGCAAGCGTCCTCCCGCTCACGTTGGCACACCATTCACAAGGTTCGTGGCTCCATAGGGAGCTCCACCGAAGGCCCCAGTGGCAGTGTCCGCATGCGTCCCCCCGCCCACTTTGGCACACCCCTCACACGGTTCGTGGCCCACTGGGGAGCCTCACTGAAGGCCCCAGTGGCAGGGTCCGCATGCGTCCCCCCGCCCACTTTGGCACACCCCACGCACGGTATGGGGAGGCTCGACGTGCGAGGTGCCACTGCAGCCGCCCAAACGAGTCCCGTCAATAAGGACAGCTGCGCGAAACATCAGGCAAATATCCGCTCCGCCTGCAAAGCCCCAGAACCCATGGGAACTGAAGATCATGGTACTAATCCGAACAGGTCATCCTAATACTTGTAACTGTCGTCATCTTTAGTTCCCTCAGGCCCGATTTGGGGGGAAGTATCCGGCGGGAGCCTCGTCTCTGAGTGAATTGCGAGGAAGTCCCTGTAACTCGCATCGCTTTCGGGCCGCTTGAGGTCTGAATATTGGGGAAGTCTGAGGCGGGAGCCTCTCCAGTGAGTGAATTGCGGATCACCTCGTCCGAGCTGGTCGCCGGAATACTTGTTACTGTCATGGTGCCCGCGTGCCCGAAAAGGCGACTCAGGAGCTAGCGACGACGACGACGACGAGACAACGGCCGGGCGCAGGCGTAACCTCTTGTGTCTGGGCCAGCGGTGGTAATCCATCCTCGGCCGAATCGGAGGCAGGGGTAACCCCTTGTCTCCAGGCCGCCGGTGGTAACCCATCGGCGGCCGAATCGGGCGCAGGGTTAGCCTCTTGCGTCAGGTCTGGGGGTTGTAACCCATCCTCGACTGAATCGGGGGCAGGGGTGAGGAAACCAAGAAAAAACTTTAAACCCTGAGAAAATGCCCACGCAACGGAAACATGGAGAGAGGGACGAGAGACAAAGAGAGAGAGAGAGAGAGATGATGAGACGGGAAACACATGGAGACAAAGTGGTGGCGCAAGGGGCTTGCCTTGTTTCAGGCCTGGCAGGCTTGCGCGCGACAGGGGCAGAGAGAGAGAGAGAGCAACAGACAGAGAGAGAGAGAGAGAGACAGTGAGAGAAGGATGAAGGCGGGAAGAAAAAGGAGACAATGGCGGCGCAGGGGGCTCGCGTCATTTCAGGCCTGTCAGGCAAACGCCCGACGAAAACAGAGAGAGAGCGGAGCGGAGCGAAGCGGCCAATAATCCGTCCGGCGGGACGGCTCCGTAGTGCGCTTCGCGCACGGAGAGGCCGTGCATGTGCGCTGTACTGTGAGACCGTGAGACATTGAAACGTCAGACGCTGGAGGATACACGCACGAAGGCAGAGAGGGACAGAGAGAGAGAGAGAGAGAGAGACAGAAAGAGATGCAGGCGGGAAGAACATGGCGACAAAATGGCGGCGCAGGGGGGCTCGCCTCATCTCAGGCCAAGCACGCAAACGTGCAGCGGAAACAGACTGAGAGAGAGAGAGAACAACAAAAAGAAAGAAAGAAAGAGAGAGATGAGACGGGCAGAACATTGAGACAACATGGTGGCGCAGGGGGCTCGCCTTGTTTCAGCCATGGCAAGAAAGAGAGACAGGGGCAGAAAAAGAGAGAGAGGGGGAGACAAGGACGAAGGCGGGAAGAAAAAGGAGACAAAGTGGCGGCGCAGGGGGCTCGCATCAGTTCAGGCCAGGCAGTCCAACGCGCGACGAAAACAGAACGAGAGAGAGAGAGAGGAGAATGAGCTGGGAAGAACATGGAGACAAAAAAGCCGCGCACGGGGCTTGGGCCACCGCGGGCTAGGTGGTTAGGACGGCAGCGCGCTGAGGAAACAGGGAGAGATCATAAAGAGACGAGACGAAAATGGAGACACAACGGCGCACGGGGCTCAGGCCAAAGCAAGAAACCAAAAATGCCCGCGCAACGGAAACAGGGAGAGAGGAGCGTGAGTTAGAAAGACAATGGATACAAAACGGCCGCTCACGGGGCCCAAACTAAAGCAGGAAAACAATAATGCAACGCGCAACGGAAACAGGGAGAGAGAGGATAAGCTGGGGAGAAAATGAAGACAAAACGGCCGCCCAAGGGGCTCAGGCCAATCAATAAAACAAACGTGCAACACGCACCGGAAACCCATAGAGAGGAGAATACGCTGGGAAAAACATGAAGACAAAAACGGCAGCGCTCGGGGCTTGGACCACCGCGGACCCCCCTCCTCCGTCTCATCTCCTTCGCGGTACTCGCGGCTGCATTTGATTCTTAGCGGTGCTGTCCTCGATGCCGGCCTCCTGGGCCCCCCATGGGGCTCCGGGACCATCATCTTTTCCTAAACGGCCCCGAGACCATTCGCTTTTTTTTCCCCCCGACGGCCCCGCCGAGACCATCAGAGACGGATATGGGCGTGAAGCCTCGATGTCGCCCTCCTGGGCCCGCCATGGGGCCCTGGGACAACCATTTGTTTTTTGTTACCAACAATTTTTGTTCCCAGCCATCCTCTGGTGTGGGGTCCTCGTTTTGACAAGGCAGCGCCCCGCGATTCTATCCTCTTCTCTCCTCTCCTCCTCCTCCCCCCCCTCCTGTCTCCTCCCATCCGCCTCATCACCTCCCTGCGTTTCACCCCCCCCAGGACAGCGCTTCGTGGCCCCGTAGGGAGCTCCACCGAAGGCTCCAGTGGCAGGGTCCGCATGCGTCACCGCCACCCAGGACAGCGCTTCGTGGCCCCATAGGGAGCTCTACCGAGGGCTCAAGTGGCAGGGTCCGCGTGCGTCACCGCCAAGGACAGCGCCCCATAGGGAGTTCCACCGAAAGCTCCAGTGGCAGGGTCCACATGCGTCACCATAGGGAGCTCCGCCGAGGGCTCCAGTGGCAGGGTCCGCATACGTCACCGCCCAGGACAGCGCTTCGTGGCCCCCTAGGGAGCCCCACCAAAGGCTCCAGTGGCGGGGTCCGCATGCGTCACCGCCCAGGACAGCGCTTCCGTGGCCCCATAGGGAGCTCTACCGAGGGCTCCAGTGGCAGGGTCCGCATGCGTCACCGCCACCCAGGACAGCGCTTCGTGGCCCCATAGGGAGTTCCACCGAAGGCTCAAGTGGCAGGGTCCGCATGCGTCACCGCCGAGGACAGCGCTTCGTGGCCCCCTAGGGAGCTCCACCGAGGGCTCCAGTGGCAGGGTCCGCATGCGTCACCGCCAAGGACAGCGCTTCGTGGCCCCATGGGGAGCTCCACCGAATACTCCAGTGGCAGGGTCCGCGTGCGTCACCGCCACCCAGGACAGTGCTTCGTGGCCCGTAGGGAACTCCACCAAAAGCTCCAGTAGCAGGGTCCGCGTGCGTCACCGCCACCCAGGACAGCGTTTGTGGTCCCATGGGAGCTCCACCGAAGGCTCCAGTGACAGGGTCTTCATGCGTCACCGCCACCCAGGACTTTGTTTCGGGGCCCCATAGGGGGCTCCACCGAAAGCGGTAGTCACAATGCGGCACTCGCAGCTGCATATGGTTGGGTCCTTAGTCAAGCTAATTTCAATACTGGCCCCCAGGGAATCCGAACACTTTCCTCAGGGCCGGCGTTTGATCCCTGGTCGGTATTTCACTGCCTCCAAGGCCCAGCGAGGGCCCCATGAGGCCGAAACGATTGGCGGCACGCACAGGGGGGGAGAGGGAGGGGGGAAGGCTTCTTAGAAGGAGGCTGCTTCTTTGAAGGCGCCCGCCCTGCACCAATAAGTAAGGCCCGCGCATTCGAAGAACTAGGGGTGCTTCCAAGAGGCCTTCCCCCCTCCCCGTACCCCCCTCAACGCATGGCCGAGACGACGACGGCGCTGACGCCGACGCCGACGCCGACGTTGACGACGCCGACGACGACGCCATCGCCACGCCGGCGACGACGACGACGACCACGACGACGACGACGGCCACGACGACGACGACGGCCACGACGACGACGACGACGACGACGACGACAACGACGGCGGCGTCGGCGACGGCGACGGCGACGACGAAGGCAACGACGAGGGCCGGCGGGCGCCTCCTCGGCCTGCGGGGACAGGCCCTCCAGCACCGTGGGCTCCTCGGGGCGGAGCGGCGTCGTCGCCGCCGTCGTCGCCGTCGTCGCCGCCGCCGTCGTCGTCGTCGCCGTCGCCGCCGTCGCCGTTGCCGTCGTCGCCGTCGTCGTCGACGCCGTCGTCGCCGTCGTCGTTGGCGTCGTCGTCGTCGTCGTCGTCGTCGTCGTGGGCCTGTCGTCGTCGCCGTCGTCGCCGTCGTCGTCGCCGTGCCGTCGTCGCCGGCGTCGTCGTCGCCGTCGTCCTGGGCCCCCCCGCTCGCTTCCCTGCCCACCACAGGGGTCCCTCCCGAGTCCGCTCGGCGTCTCAGCCTCTGCAGCCGCCGAGTGGGCTTGCTCTCGAGCCCCCTCGGCCGCCGAAGGGGCTCATACGCCGAGCCCTCGGTTCTGACCCTGCCAGGCAACAGCTGCAACACTGCAAGGAGTCAGGGCCAGAGCCATAGACCCAATCTTTCTGCGCAAATTCTTGGCCCGGGCGTGTCCCTCTACAGACGAAGTTTGGGCGACATATCTAAAATACTTAACACATATTCCCAACTAGTCAAACCAAACTTAAACAACAAAAAGACGCCCCTGACAAGTTTTCAATGTTTTTTGAACATTCCGCCTGTAAAGGGACAGGCCCGACTCAACCATAGACCCCTTCCTTTTGCGCCTATTCTCGAGCTGGATCGATCTGTGAGGGTCCCGGGCCCGGCGCCTGGCGAGAAGCGCCCGTGGTGCAACAAGTGCAACGCCAGGATCTGAGGGCCCAGCGTGCTGAAGCAAACTATCCTCGAGAAGGGCCCAACCATATGCAGTTGTGGATGCCGCAATAGTGAATACCTTCTTCGGTGGAGCTTCCTCTGGGATCACGAAGCGCTGCACTGGGTGGGAGGGAACGCATGCGGGCGGCAACACTGGGGCCGTCGGTGAAGCCCCCTATGTGGCCACGAAGCGCTGTACTGGGTGGAGGGGACGCATGCGGGTGGCAGCACTGGGGCCGTCGGTCGAGCCCCCTAAGGGCCAAGACACGGTGTACTGGGTGGGGGGGACGCATGCGGGCGGTGGCGTTGGGACCTTCGGTGGAGCAACCTACGGGGCCACGGGACGCTGTACTGGGTGTGGGGGGCGCACGCGGGCGGACAGGGGCCGTCGGTGGAGCCCCCATATGGGGCCACGGAACGTTGTACTGGGTGGGGGGACGCATGCGGGCGGTAGCGCTGGGGCCGTCGGTGGAGCTCCGTACGGGGCTGGGTGGGGGGGGCGCATGCGGGCGGTAGCAGGGGGCCCTTCGGTGGAGCTCCGCCTGGGGCAACGAAGCGCTGTGCTGCATGGGTGGGGGGGACGCACGCGGGCGGTAACACTGGGGCCTTCGGTGGAGCTCCCTATGGGCCCACGGAACGCTGTGCTGGGTGGGGGGGACGAATGCGGGCGTTAGCGCCTGGGCCTTCGGTGGAGCTCCCTAGCCACGAAACGCTGTACTGGGTTGGTGAAGCGCAAGGAGGGGGGAGGGGGAGAAGGAGGGAGGCAGGAGGAGGAGAATGCGGGGACCGTCTCTTCAAAATGAAGACCCAACACCACAGGATGGGTGGGAAAGGAACAGACGTGTCTCGTTGTTTGCGGCGTCTGGGGGCCCTCGCTGGGTCCCCAATGGATAAAAAACGATTCGAAACGAAGACCCGGCCCCGGAAAAGTGGCCCAGAGCTCCGGGGACCCCGCACTGAGAAAATCAAGACATCGGATGTCTGGGGGGCGCCCGCGTAAGGAGCAAGACGATCGGAGAGGGATGCTAACTTCATCCTCGACCGTCTAACACACAAACGCGCTCAACGCGCGCCGCGCTCTACGCGGAGCGGCCGGGGATGAGGGAGAAGGGGGGGAAGAAAGAGGGGACGATACGACCAACCACGCATCAGACGACGACAAAGGAAAAATGAGGAAGTAGTTGCGTGGTGTACTGGATTACGGTGTAGATGGAGTGGAGGTACGTTTGGACGGAAGTTTTCAGTGGCCGAGGGTCCATTAAGAAGTCCCCAGCCCCCTCCAATGCCGATTGACGGCGTGGTGTAGTGGTTGATTGGTGGGAGAGGGCGGGCCCAAAGCGGCCCCTTATAATGGCAGCTGCGAGGAGTGTCCGTCAGGCATCTGATGGTCCTCGCTGGTATGATCTATGATGGTCCTCACAGGAAATACCTGAAACGAGAACACAACATACATACATGACCTTCACCCCTGAAGCCCTGGAATATCGTTCCATGTCAACCCCGGCCCCCAAACAGGGTGCGGGGAAACGGGGCGGAAGGCAACGGGAAGGAGGAGGGAAGGAGGGAACGGAAGGGGGAACAGGAAGCGGGGCCCAGGAGAGGAGGGAGGCGGAAGGGGAAGAGGCGAGGGGGGTGGAGAGAGAGAAGGGCAGAGGGGCGGGGCGCAACAGAGGAGGGGAAGGCCAGGGACGGTGAGAAGGGAACGGGGGGCGTCTCCGAAGCTGCGGTCCGTAATGCCGAAAGCCCTGCTGCGCGAGCGACGCGAGACACAGCAAGAGGAGGACGCCTCGAGCCTCCGAGCTGCTGGCAGAGCGTCGTGGCAGAGACCTGACGGGGGGAAACACAATCCTGACCAGGGGGACCTGCAACAAAAAGAGCCACAGGTGACCGTTGCATTACATCCGCTTCCTTCCGCGAGCTCCCCACCGCCGACCCTCAGGAGCCCACGCCAACGCGAGCGCCCCTCTGGCAGACCATCTCCGGATGCCATCAGACAGGTCGGGGGCACGGTGCAAAAAGGAGGGAGAAAGGGAAGAAGCCCCGCCACGCACCTGCGCCCCGAATGGCAGACGGAGATTGCAGGCAGGGTAATATGTTAAACATGCCCATCCTTGGAGAGTTCGGTTAAGGGGCGGGGAGCGAGCACGAACACATGACTGACGCCACGGCAGCACATGTGAGACCGCAGCGGCACGGGTCGAAACGTCACCCTTGGTGTGCTGGCGCGCTGGCTTGGGAAACTGACGCCAGAAGGTACTGGATTGCTGACATTGACAGACGCCGTCAGCCGGCAAAAGATAAATCCTGGTCAGCACCCCCAGGAAGAATATGACGAATTGGTTGACTCGTGTACTCGCTTACGGTGCAACACGTGCCGGGGGTCCATGAAGGAGTCCGCGGCCCCCTCCAATGCCGATTGATGGCGTGGTGTAGTAGTTGATTGGTGGGAGAGGGTGGGCCCCGAGCAGCCCCTTACGATGGCAGCTGCGAGGAGTGTCAGGCATATGATGGTCCTCGCTGGTAGGGTCTATGACGGTCCTCACCGGGGCGGGGGATGAAGGCAGGAGGCTGAAGTAGATGCCCGACAGCAGCGTCCTAAGAAGGATACTGGAAAAGAGCGCACAGCAAATATATACATGACCTCCGGGCTCCAGAGCTCCGGGGACCCCGCACTGAGAGTTTTGGGGGCGCCCGCGATCCCCCCCACGAAAAGGGCAAAACAAACGGGGAGGGAGGCCAATCCTCAACCGTCTAAAGGCAATCGCGCTCACAACGCGAGCCGCGCTCTACGCGAAGCGGCCAGGGATGAGGGAAAAGAGATGGAAGGGGCAGGGGGAGACACGACCAACCACGCATCAGACGTCGACAAAGGGAGGGGAAGTGGGGGGGGAGGAGGGACAAAAGCGTCAGCTGGAGCCTACCGAATCAACACCGCCCGAGTGCCAGAGCCGCTAAACAATCCGCCTCTCAACGAACGTGTACACCATAAGCAACTGGTGGACACAAGCGACAATATCCGGTATCGCGCGCAGTGGCGTTACCATCGTGTGCACCGTGCCGGCGACGACTGCAACGGCAAAGGCCAACTTCGAGCTGCACTGGAGATCCGTGAGCGACAGCGAGGGGCTGCTCGTCTGGGAGCAGCCTGGCCCCGCGCCCTCAGCACTGGATGCGCTGGAGAGGTATCTGGCGTGGTGGTCCACCCACTGTGGGCACAGCGGAGCTGCCCGGTGCGTGTGGATACGGAGCTCAACACGCCGACTGCCAACGCAGGCGTGGCTCGAAACGTTCGGCAAAACGTGGGCCGGTCTGCGCCGAGCCAACACGCAGCGTGTGCACACTTGAGCTTTGAGCACGGTGCGTGCTGCGGCTCCACACGGACGTACCGGCTGTGCACGGTTCCGGGGCAGCTCGGGCCACAGGCCGTGGACGGCGTCGGAGGCGTGAGGGCCGCCAGCAAGGCACGGATCGTGTCCGGCGGCGGTGCTGCCCGCCTGGGGGGCCACCGGCGGGAGCCCAGAGGACGAGGGCCAGCTGGTCGACTCGCTGCAGGAGGGCGCCCTGGATTCCTTCTTTGACGGCGAGGCAGCCTCTGGCGAGGACCTGACGCCGATGCCGCCGTCGGAAGTCTGGGGCTCCAGCCGCGAGGGGTCCACCGATCTGTCTCCGAGGCGGAGCTCCCAATCTCGGACGCGGCAGGGCGCCCTCCATCTGGCTGGGATCCCACACGGCCCGTCACATTCCCGAGCCCACGGCTGAGATCAGTACTGCTGTGGTCGGTTCGACTTGCAACCCTTTCCAGAATAGTGGTTGCAACCCACTTGCAGGGCACCTGCAAGCGGGTTGCAAGTCCGCCTGACTGCTGTGAGCCTCAGTGCGCCGTGGTCCCGACCCGGAGCAGCCAGACAGACTTGCAACCCTCTTGCAAGTGCCCTGCAGTTGGGCTGCAACTACCCTGCAACTGTTGCAGGTCACAGCGACCACTGCAGCAGGAGCAGCCGCCAGCGAATGCCGCCCCCGCCGCCAGCAGTGGGGCCCCAAAAACGACTCCGGCTCGGGCTGGCAGCCCACCGTGCCGAGCGATCGCGCGCGCCGCGCGGCAGCAGCCCGTGCCAGCGTCCGCCCCCGAGCCGCGGGGCACGGGCTCCGAACAAAATGCTGTACCCGGCCGCGCGGGCGGCTGGTGCGCGGGGGCCCCCGCGCGCCGCCGCCGCCGCCGCGCGGCGCCGCGGGCGCAGGATGCGTGCGGAGGCCGAGGCGCTCGGACCACGCCCCGGGGCGGGCTGCGAGGAGAGCCCTCAGCGGCCGCCCGCGGGCGCCCGTGCGCGGCGGCAGGTGCTGGCCCGCTGCAGCGCCGAGGGGCGGCGGGCCGCGGCCGGGCCTGGCCTCCCGCTGGTCGGCGCGGGCGCGCGTCGGGTGGCCGAGCGGGCGGCGCGGGAGGTGGCCGAGGCCCCACAGGACAGCGGTGGGCGATCTCGAGCCCGCCGTGGTCGTGCTCGGCAGCTCTTGTGCTGCAGGCTCCCTGCGAAGGCTGGAGGCAGACATGCCTAGGCAACGCGGCCCTGCCTTTTGCCGGCATGCGCGCAGGAGCGAAGAGGAGAGGAGAAGCCTACTGGCGCCTCCCCCCAGCCGCGGCGGGAATCACTGCGCGTGGGCCCGGCCCAGGCTGGCCGCGCTCCCGTTCCTCGGTCCTCGCCACGCCTTCCTTGTCCTGCTCGCTGGGGCTCAATCGCGGTGGTCCTTCTTTCGGGCTTTCGCCAGCTCTCGACGGCCGCCAAAGAAGCATCCAAAGTCCAACGGAGTCCCCAAGATACCCCCAGAATGGCCGAAATAGGGCTCTATTTCGGCCACACGGACCAAGAGGACCTGTGGATACCCAAGACTGCCTTAGAAGACCCGTCGATGGCCCAAGACGGCGCCAAGACGACCCCACCACGGCACCAAGACACAACCCATGCGGGCCTCTTCCTCTTCCTTCTCCGCCTCCTCCTCCTTCTCCTCATCCTCCCTCCTCCTCCTTCTCCTTTCTCCTCCCTCCTCCCCTTCGTCCTCCTCCCACTCCTCGTCATCATCATCATCATCATCATCATCATCATCATCATCATCATCATCATCCTCATCCTCATCCTCATCCTCATCCTCATCCTCATCCTCATCCTCATCCTCATCCTCATCCTCATCCTCATCCTCATCATCATCATCATCATCATCATCATCTTCATCATCATCATCATCATCACCATCACCACCATCACCATCATCATCATCATCATCATCATCATCATCATCATCATCATCATCATCATCATCGGCAACATCGTCATCACGGCTCCCCCAAACTTCGGGACACGAAGTGTCACAACTGCCGGCCTCCCGCGCCCGCCTCTCGGACAATCGCCACCCAGAATGCTGGGCTAGCATGGTGGCGAAATCTGTCGCAGGAAACTGGATTGTGCAGTGAACCCTTTCACTCTGCAACCATGCCTGAGGTACTCGAAACTCGTAAGCCTAACATACGTGTGGGAGCCTCAAGACATGCTGCGAACGCACGGGTGTTCAAGCTGTCGGCGTGAAGCCCCTCTGGCCAGGCCGGCCAAAGCGGCGATTGGCAACACACATCGTGATGAGCACTGACCGCCCTATCACCACCATCATTACCCGCGCCTCGTTCAACCCCGGGGTCCAACCCCAAGAGCCGACCCATCCCCACCCCCGCCTCTGCGCCACGCTATCTCCCACGCTCACGCTCTCTCTCTCTCTCTCTGTCTCTCGAGGGAGTCCTCGGGGGGGGGGCGTCCTCGAAGGGGAAGGGGGGCACTGAAGCAAGGAGGCGGCCATGACACCCAGGGAGACCTCACGGCCCCAGCCATCCTATCCACCTCGCCACAATCATCACCCACCTCCTGGTCGCCCCTGACCCTCTCCTCCTCCGTCTCCTCGCCCTTTCCCTCCTCCACCTCCTCGTCGTCCTCCTCCTCCTCCTTCTCCTCCTCCTCTTCGTCCTCCTGCTAGTAGGACGGGCCTTCTAGACTGGGGGAGCGCGGTCGCCGCACAGGGGCTGGCGCGGCAACAGCCCCAAACCCTGGGGCTGCTGCCCCAAAGCGCGGGGCTCGGAATCGGAATCGAGCCGGGATCGAGATCTACTCGGCTGCCCCCTGCGCCGCAACGGACTGAAATCGAGACGGAATCGGACGCGCTCGCGTCGGATCGACCCGCGCGAATCGGAGCGGACACTGCAAAGGGGGGGGGCTCCTCCCAGGTGGTGTCGCACGCCCGGGCGCGGCGCCCGCGCATGTCGGGAGACACCCGCGTCTCGATGTCCTGGCGGGCAACTGTCGACGGAGCCACCACGATGGCAACAAGCAGACCGAGCCGCCATCTAAAAACCGCCCGACGCCGCGAGAGCAGAAGCGCCGACGTCGAGGCCACGAGACACTCTGCCGATGACGGTGGGGGGAAACAGGCGGACCAAGGAGAACATTGAAGGAGGCCGCGCCGCGCCTCTCGAACTCACTTCCGCGCGCGATGACCAGCTGCTGAGGAGGAGGAGGAGTAGTAAGGTCGAGGAGCAGAAGAGAAGAGGAGCAGCGCGAGGATAAGCAGGTTGGATGAGGAAAGCTATGACAATGGCATGGAGCAGAATGAGGAGCGAGGCGAAAGGAAGGATGAGGACGAGGAGGAAGAGGAGGTGGAAGGGAAGGATGGCATGGAGGAGGGGCAGCTTGAAACGGCGCCTCGGTTAGGCCCACAAGCTGGTAAATCCCAACTCCCAGCCACGATCGGGACCAGTATCGACGACATGGACCGACCACCCAGCCACGGCGCAACGCGTTGTCTGGAAGAGTGTGCCCCATGAGAGGCGAAGCAGCCCCTGGACGATGCCAGGCGCTGAACTTGGCAACTGCGCCTGAAGCTATTCCACACAACATCGTCCTTCGAACACCACACTCCAATCGCATCCATCGGCATCCATGGTGTTGAGGTGAAGGCAGAGTTGGAGGAGGACGCGAAAGATGGCGACGATGAAGACGAGAGTGGATGAGAATATGGATGTCGACGAGAATGGAGAGGGACGAGAACGACGAGAAGGGGTCAGGTGAGGTGGAGCAAGTGGGGCAGAAAGAAGGGACGAGGGAGAAGGGAGGAGGCCGAGGACAAGCAATAGGATATGACCACAAAGAGGAGGGCATCGCCGCACCACCCACCCCTGTCAAGACCACTCCAGGGGAGGGTATTTTTCGACACCCCTCACGAGGATCGTGGCCTCCGAGGGGGGAGCCGCAATCGACTACCCCCAAGAGCCCCCCAAGAGGCCCTGGGGGCCTCCAAAACGCCGCCAAGGAGCCCCAAGAGACTCCCAAGAGGTCCCCAAGAGGCCCCCAAGAGGCCCTAAAGAGGGCTCCAGGGCCGGCGGCATGAGCGAAGCGATCAAATAACACTATGCGAGCGCACTCGGTTAAAAGAGCATTGTGTCAAAAACCCAGCGCCACAAACATGCACAGGGTTCTCACGCGAGCGCACGCCGAAATCGTACCAAGCTCAAGTGCAGCAAACGTTTCTTCGTAAACCCATCAGAGGTTTCGCTTCTGGCGATCCCCACCACCAATTTCGGGGTCTGCTGCCGGCAGTGCGCGCGCATACTGGAACGATGCGCGCGGTGCAGGGTGGCCTCGGCCAGCGCGGCGGCCAGGCCAGGTCGCACGGTGCCTTCGACCTAAACTCGAGCAGCCCCAGAGCCCCGGACGAAAGGAACCGGAACAGGCCCTGGAACGAAAGAACATACCCCAAAACTCGTGGTGCGAGGCCCCACAGCTTGTTCAGAGAGAATATGCATTCAGGTTGAGGGAGTAGGACAATCAGCAGCAAAAGCAACAAGATGATGAGAAGAAATTCGTCTTCACGTTTGGTCACTTCTCTTAGAATATACTCTGGTCTGATCACCTCTGTCACAATACGCGTTGATATGTTGCGTGGGTTTCCGCTATGTGGCGTCAGGTGAGAACATGATAGATGTCAAACTATGCTCTACTATGTTTTTTTTCATTCGTCCTGGTTCTGTTGTGCCCGGATCATGGAACAACTGATGCCATGATTTGCATTGCCGTGTGACGCTATGTCCTGTTGTGCCGTGATGTGTCTCTATAAAATTGTCGTTGCCGTCTGCAGCGATATACAACAATGTTCTCGACAGGGCAGCGTGACGTCCTTGCGCCTGTCACGTTCGATACGTCGTCCGTTTGTTCGTTGCTGCGCCTCTTCGTTCCTTTGGCCAGCCTGACCTTGGCGCGCACGTCGCATCTGACTGACTGATAAAACGATAGACGACAACGTGTGGTTCCTCTGTGCTGAGATTTCTCGTACGTTATATTGTTATGCCTCGCATATGTCACAGTGCGCGGTGGTATGTTAAGCTATGCTCTGCTCTGCTGCACCATGTTATGACATGCTGCGGTCTGCCGGGTATGCTCTGTTATGCTGCCAAAAATGCTGACGACGACATGCTCAATTCCGTACGGTATATTATGGTATGCTTTGCTATGGTATGTTATGCTATGCTCTGTCGCGAAATCCCTCTTCAATGCTGCCCTGGCTGTATTCAACAATATCAAACTGTGTTCCGTGTAGTGATGCCCGATTGTGTTATGCTATAGTTTGTCCTGGCTGTTCTCGACGGGCTGGCGTGACGTCATTGAGTCATGACGCCTGTCACGTTTGCTACGTTACGTCGTCCAGTCGCCCTCTTCTGCGCGTGTTGGTGCCTGTGGCCGGCTCGACGTTGACTCGAACGTCGCGTTAGACTATCTGATAGATGCTTGGGTTATGTATACTGTCCCTCTTGACGGTGAGTTCTTCTTATGTTTAAATGTGCTCTGGTCCGCTCACCTCTGTCACAGTATGCTTTGAGGTGGTATGGAATGCTTTGGCCAGTGACCCCACGATAAGATATGCAATTTACTGTCTGATTATGCTATTGACCTGCTCTGTGAAGTGATGCTGTTTACGGGATGGTCAGTTCAGTATAAACGATGTTTTGCTGTGTTGCGGCGTACCTCCTAAGTTGTGTTATTACCTATGATGTGATATATCGTTGTCGCTGCCGTAGTGGTAGCAGTCGTGTAGCACTCATGGTATGCCATGCTAGTTACGTCGTGTTCTGTCCATTATGTGTTGCTACGTTCTGGTATGTCATTGATTGTCCATGCGATAAGCTGAAGCATGTGATGTTGTATGACCTTCGCTGCCGCCGTTGTAGAACTGGTTTTCAAAAGTCTGGTAAATTCGGTTATTGCATATTATGTTGTGCTTTCACATGCTCCACTCTGTCATGACATGCGTTGTTACGGTGCGTTGTACTCGATGCTGTGTTCTGATCCGCCATGCCATGTGCGTCTTGGTATTCTGCTGTTTCGGAACCTGTCATGGCTATGATTTGTTAGGTTATGACATGGACTGATCTGTTCTGCTCTGTGATACAATATTTCGTTGTGTGGTGGTATGCTCTGTCCGGTAAGCTCAGAGCTATCGCTGCATGCGCTATTATGATTCGAAGTAATAAAAACATGTTATGATGGGTTCTATGGCATGCCCTGTTCTGAGATGGTGTTATGAAATCCTGCGCCCTGCCACCTTATACTATGGCATGCCGCGCTCTGACATGGTAAAGTCCGTCATGCTATGGCATGATAGTACATCGAGCGCTGTGCCATGAAAAGATATGCTCTGTCATGGTGTGCCCTGGTATGATATGTTATGATATGGTATGGGTTGCCACTTGTGTGGGTTATTCAATGTTATGTATGCTCCAGATTTGCACTGCTTGCTCTGCTATAGCGTGGTATGGATTGCTCCGTCGTTTGATGTGATAGTCTGAGATGGTATGCGGTGGTATTACGCTACGCTATGACCTGCAACGTCATCATATCCTATGCTGCGGTCTGTCATGGTATACGTGGCCACGGTATGAACTGATACGGTAGGTGATGATGTGGTATGGTATGGTCTGCTCGGTTTTCGTATATCGCGTTCTGATCCGCTGTGCTACGTTAACGTGTGTTGTGCTATGTTGTGTTATGCTATGTTGTGTGGTGCTATGCCTGAGTCTGCCAGGTTCTGTCGTGTTCGCCCCAAGGGGCGAAGCGGGGTCTCGGGGGATTCTTGGTTAACCTGGGGGGTCTAGCGGCCGCGGTATGCAGAGTGGGCGGGTCGGCGCGACACGGGGGGCTCGAAGGATTCTCGCTGGACCTTGGAACTGGCGGCCGCGGTATGCAGGGTGGTCAGGCGCGGAAGGCTGTTTTGTTCCGTTTGGAAACATATCGACACCGGCCTCTCAGCTGGGGAAAGCATTTCATCGTGTCCATCTCAAACCTTGAGAAGTCATGAACCTGTGCGAATACCATAGGATCGTAGCGATGCCGCCCCCGAACATGCATTCTTAACTCTTTCACCACGCGGAACATCCACCTCCGCGTTGATCGCGCATTGCTCGTGTCTAATTGCGTCATGCTGGCCACACGCGCACGCCGCCACGCGAGCGTGTCGAGATCCAACCAGATTGGCTGCCGAGCCATTTTAACAAAGAGACATTCAAACCAACACCCTTTGAAACCATGCCAGCTACATGATTGCCAGGAGTTCCTGGGCTTCCAGAAGCGCACGTCCTCGCCAACTCCCTCATCAACGCCGCTTCATCACGTCATCATGATCGACACCGCCGCAAATGCCGCCCTCATCACTCAATCACCTCCACCACCGGCACATGGGCATCACCGTCATCGGCGGTACCAACATTGGTGCCGTCATTGGCCTTGCCGTCGTCATCGTCATCATCGCCACCACCATTGCTACAATAATCCTCGTTGCCGCTGTTGTCGGCGTCATCACGACCCGGCGCCGACCCGAGCCACCGACCCGCATAGGAGCGCCCGCTCGCCAGCGCGGCCTTTGACACGCGCTGGGACGCTGCCATCGGCAAGCGCAACCACGGCCGCATCGGCTGTGCCAAGCCAGCTGGCCGCCCTGCGCGCGAGCTTGCGCGCGCCAGCGCGGTCGCAGAGATGCGCCAACCATGGTCAACCAATCATCGCAATCGCCGACGCATGGCTTCTACTAGCCAAGATGCTGGTGGGAGGGTGGGATGATTGTGCGACCATCGGAATGGACAACTCACGAGCTGCCGCACATGATCTGTACTCCTTCTGCGAATCAATAAAGGTTCCAGCTCAACCACCCCGCGGGCGAATCGTGAGCCTATCTGTCCATCTCACCCGGTGAACGCACTAGAAAGCATGCGAGTCGACTCTCAACATGAACTCGGCGTTGGACAAACCTCCCTTTAGTAAACCTCCCCTTTAGTGAAAACGGCCTGGGACCGAAACCGACGGACCTGGATCCGCAAAAATGACGGCCGCGACGCCCTCTCGCGAACCGAAAACGGCCAATTCACTAATCGACGTGTCAGGGTAGGAGGTCGATCAATCTCCGATGAACGGTGCTTCGTTCACGCCGAGCGAAACAACGCGGCAGACATGGGATGGGGCGCGCATCCCGCGCAAGAGAGGGCGCCATGTCGCTCTCGCCTCGGCGCCGCGCTCACTTCTCCAGGGACTGGAGTTCCCCCGTTGGGGCGCGGCGCACACGGCTCGCGCTGAGCTTCGTCGGCTCGCGAGAAGGCGAACGTGCAGCTGCCAGCTCGGCGCCGCGCAGATCTCGCTCGAGTGCGGCACTCCCGCCTCAGCGCGGCGTAGATTTGTCACTGGCCAAGCTTCGGGGCCCCGCGCGAGCGGGCGGCTTGTCGCCCTCGCCGGGGCAACGTGCCGCATCATCCCCCTTGGCCTCCCGCTCGCCCTCCCCCTCCCCCTCCCCCTCCTCGAGCCCCCTACTGTACCTTCTCCTCCTCCTCCTCCTCCTCCCCCTTCTTTCCCCCTCCCTCCCCCGCTCCCCCCGGTCCTCAATCCCTTTGGTCCTTCCCGCGCGGGCGCCCCGCCTCCTCTCACGGGCGGCCAGGGCGGCCCGATGTTCGGCCACGCCCTCGCTGCAGTGGCCGTCCTGCGCGGCCCGCCCTCCTGGGCGGCCGAGGCTCTCCGCCGGCGCGACCGCACCGCCTCGCGACGTGCTCCCGGAGCCTCCCGCGGCGCCGCCCTTCGGAGCAGGGCGGGTCGAGGCAGCGGCAGCTCCGGGAGCCTGCCCCCGGCCCTCTCCCGGGGCCCAGACCGCACACGCGAGCTCCCCGAGCCGCGCCCAGCCGTGGCCACGAGGGGGCCCCACGAGGGCCCGCTGGTTGTCTCTACGCGTCCCCCTCGGATGCGCATGCGAACCCTGCCCCTACACTCCCCACGATTTCTGAGGGGGAGGGTGGGGTTCACGTCGCTCGGAAGCTCCCGAACGAAGTGAACCCCGCCCTCCCCCTCAGAAATCGTGGGGGGGTAGGGGCAGGGTTCGCACGTGGCCCCCTATCCGTGCGACACGACCAGGCCCCCTCTCCGCAGCAGCGGCGGCCTCTGCGCCAGGAGCGAGGCGCGGGCTGCGCGCCTCCAGCGTGGTGAGCGGGCCCCTCGCCGCCCCGCCGGCGAGGGCCGCGCGCACCGCCTCGGGGCGGGCCTCCCCCAACAGCGGCGCGTTCACGGCGGCGCGCTGCTCTCCGACGGGCAGAGCTCCGGGGGGGGGGGCAGCTCCCGGGCTTGGACGCCCTAACAACTGGGTACGGAAAGAACGGGCACAATGCCCAACAGCAAGTGCTGCCCCAAACCGAGAGCGGCCGCCTGTTGGGCAGGCGGCCCTCCTGTCCCGAGTGGACACAGGCCGCGGCGGCGCGGACAGCGAGTCCTGTTCAAAATGAACAGGAGCTGCTGCTGGGCACCGCACCCATTCTTTCCGCACCCGTTTCGTTCCTGCAGACCGGGGAGGGCAGCGCCGACCCGGAACCGGCGACGCCCCCGACGAGCGCCCGCGACTCAGCACGCTCACCGGGCGGCATGGGCCGTCGGGCCCCCGTCGGCGATCGGGGGTCGATGCTCTAGAGGTCTCCCAGATGGCGTCCGAGCAGGTGGGGTCGGAGGATTGCACTGGATCGCCGATGCATCGGCGACGCATCGGCGACGCGTCGGCGATGCATCGGCGACGCGTCGGCGTGGGGAAACTCGGGCTCCACATCGCGCCGCATCGCCGATGCATCGGCGACGCGCAGCGATCCTTCGACTCAACTCGGACCCCATCTAGGAGGCCCAGATTTAGGTCGGGCCTGCCCCCCATACATGCAGGGGAATCTTGGGCGAACCATCTGTGAAACCTGAAAAAACATCCCCCAAAATGCTCCAGAATAGTACATGTCGCCCCCCGTACCATGTGTTGCCGCGTTTTGACCATCCCCCCTGTGCAGGGACAGGCCCGACTTACCTCCAGGAGGCCCAGGCGCTCTCCCCCCCGGAGGCCAAGTCCCCCCCCCCTGACGCTGCCCCCGATGCTTCTCCGCGTGCGCGTCGGCCGGCGACCCCTGACCACCTCCGCGAGGCTCGGCGGGCGGCGCCCTGCTCCGCCCGGAGCGCGGGCAGCACCGCCCTGCGCGGGGGCCCCCCGCCGCGGCGAGCCGCGTGCGGCGCTCGGCGGGGCCCCGGCGAGACGGCTTCGACGAGCAGAACGGCGGCACGGCCCGCCGCATGCACCTGAGAATGGGACGCACATGGACATACTAGTACTATATGTCCTCCTTGGAGGCGCGCGTCCGACCCGAACATATAGTATACCCACCTTGTAGTATATCGTTTCCCGAGCGGTGTGGCCAGAAAGCGCCCGCCACGACGCATATACTATAAGATTTCTCGGTGCGCGCGTCGCCCCTGGGATGGCGACGCACATATAGTATAAGTATGTTGGGGTGTTGCCGATGAGAACCCCGACGCCGGACTGGGCGAGAGCCGAGGAACGGAAACGCTGTTCTAAAAGCACAGCCTCTCAGATCCCCGCATCGTCGCGGCCGGGTGCGGCCACGGGCATCTCCTGCTGCGTGCCTCGGGGGCCCAACCCGGAGAACCCCCGGACTGGAGTTATCGGTGATAACTCGGGCATCCGGCCCCTCCCGAATAATCGGGGCTGAGGATAATCAGGGGTTACTCCAGGTTCGCACGTCGGGGACCCAAACTGGACTTACCCCAGATTAAAATTACCCTGCATAGCAAGGAGTCCTTGGATCGGCTCTGGACACCCACCTGGCGGCGCCTCCGGCGCCGCCCCTGGCGCGCTCCGCGCTCCAGCGCTGATCCAGGAACTCCGCGCGGAGCTCCGAAAGCTGATGCTCACACAAGCTTCTCTTGCTCTGGGGTAAGAGGGCTGCTCTTGCGCGGGCCGCGGGCCTCTGCGAGGCGCCCCACGACCATCTCCTGGGCGCCGCAGCGCCGCCGCTGGCGTCGACACGATCAGCCGCTGGCAGCAAGGCACGCCTCGCCGACCCCGGCCTCGGCTTCTGCGGCCCCGTCGGCTGGCACGGGGGCGGCGGCCAGCTGCGGCAGCGAGGGCACCGACGCATACTGCAGCGCGAGCTCGCTCTGGCGCACTGCCGCCGCGACGACCTCGCAGTCGGAGCGGAGCTCTGGGGCTGCGAACTGCAGGGCGCGGCCGCACTGCGAGACCGCGCTGAGGACCAGCTGGCGGTCGGCCCGCAGCTCCATGGCGGCGCTGCCCAGCGCGCGCCAGTCCTGGCCGACAGCGGCGGCCACCACCTCCATGTCTTTCTTGAGCTCCTCCGCCGCGAACTCCAGGGCCCAGCCGCTCTTGCGCACGGCCGCGAGGACCACGGCGCGGTCCGCCCTCACCTCTGCCGCGGAGTGCTGCAGCACACGCCAGTCGCAGTCCAACGCCTGCGTGACCGCACCGCCGTCTGCCCGGACCTCCAGCGCCGCGTACTGGAAGCAGGCCCAGTGAAGCCCCACGGCCCGAAGCACGAAGCTGCGATCGGCACGCAAAGACGGCGCCGCGTGACCAAACGCGTGCCAGTCCTGCGCCACCGCTGCCAGGACGACTCCGGGGTCCGCTCGCAGCCCTGCCTCCGCGAACTGCAGGGCCCGGCCGCACTGGCTGACCGCCACAGTCACGACCTCGGCGTCCGCCTTCAGGCTGGGGGCCAGGTGCTCCAGGGCGAGCCCGTCGCGCGACGCGGCCTCAAGCGCGAAGCCGCGATCGGCGCAGAGGTCCCCGAGCGCGTACCGCATGGCCCGCCCGCTCTGGGCCACCGCCGCGCCGACGACCTCGCGCGAGGCCCGCAGCCGGTCGTCCAAGTGCTCCAGCGCGCGCCAGTCCTGCAGCACCGCGGCCAGCGCCACGCGGCGGTCCGCCCGGAGGTCCGGAGAGGCGAACTGGACGGCCCGCCCGTCCAGGGCGACCGCGGACAGCACGATCTCGCGGTCCGCCTGCAGCTCCTCGCCCACAAACTCCAGCGCCCGGCCGTCCTGCCTCACGGCCTCCATCATGGCCCTGCGAACCATGGCCTGGTCTGCAGTCCGCGACGGCGCCGACCGCTCTGGAGGTGCCAGGGGTGGAGACTCCGCGAACACGGCGTCACCGTCGTCGTCTGCAGGGAGTGCCGGCGGCACCGGGTGTGCTAGCTGCCCGGGGCCAGCCTGCGGCACCGGGCGTGCTGGCGGCGGCCGCCGCGCGGGGCCGTGCCCCAGGAAGTCCCAGAGCTGCTCGGGGCCCAGCGCCGTGCCCGGCGCGTCGAGCAGGAAGCACATCCAGTCGCAGAGGTCGGCAATCTTCAGGTCCCAGCCGAGCGCGATGCTCTCCGCAGAGGCCAGGGCGCACGACCGCCGAGGCCGGCCAGTGGCCCGAAACGCGGCAGCAAAATCCTGCATGTCTGCGCGGCGTGCGCCGTGCATCAGCATCATCTCCACCGTGTTACCCACGACCTCGATGCAGAGCTCCACGCTGCCGTGGGAGTACCCTCCGTCGACCTCGAGCAGCGTGAAGAGGTGGTGGGGCCCGCACCGCCCCACGCACTGCTCTCCTCGGGGGCCACAAACATGAGCCTTGCCCGCTGCCCTACCATTCCCACTCATCCCTCCAAAGAAAAACACGTGGGAGGAGGAAGGAGAGGACAACTCAGACTCGGTTGAGCAGGTGCTCGGCAGGCACCCTGCCCCTACCATTCCAAATCCAGCGGGGGGGGGGCCCACGAGTCGGGGCCCAGAAACTGCGAGCGGACACCCGACGGAGTGAACCCGCTCACGGACTGCGAACGTGTCCGTATCCACGCCCGCGTGGCCTTGTTTTAGGGGAATGAAGAATGACATAAATATAAAAACTCGGAGGCCCGCGCGGATTTCTCGGATCGGCGCTGGACCCCACCCCCTGGCGCGCGGAGCGCGCCAGGGGCGGCGCCGGAGACGCCGCCAGGGGGGTCCAGCGCCGATCCGAGAAATCCAAGCGGACCTCCGAGTTGTTATGTTTGATGGATGTTTATGAAATTCTTCGCTCCCCATTCTGCATTTTTATGCTCATGTTTGTGTCATTCTTCTTCAGAGCGCGACCCCGCGGATGCGCAGTTTCATGGACATGCTCCGCGCGGGGCAGCTGTCCAGGGGGGGTCGCGGCCCCGGGCCCCGCGCCGCGAGACCGTGTGCGCACGTCGTCCGCCCATACGACCCAGCCCGCTGAACTTTTGCCTGTCCAGATCGACTGCTCCTCCTCTCCCCCTCCCCCTCCTTCTGCTCCCCCTTCCTCCTCCTCCTCCTCCTCCTCCTCCTTCTCCTCATCCCTCCTTCTCCTCCTCCTCCTCCTCCTCCTCCTCCTCATCATCATCATCATCATCATCATCCCTCCTCCTCCTCCTCCTCCTCCTCGGAGGGCGCAGGGGGATGGGGGGTCGACTTCGTCGCCGGAGTTTTCCGCTGGCCCGGGCCTCTGCAGCTCAGCAGCCCAGAGCAGGGCGCCATCGCCGCCGCCTCGGGGGAGTGGCAGTACTCCATGTAGGCCAGAACCAAGCAGCCCCCGTAGCACCTCCAGGGGAAGACAAACTACATAAACATAAGCGTTCGGAAGTCCGCACAAGACTTCTTGAATCGCCGCTGGACTCTCGAGCGAGGTGCGTGCAAGGGGCGCCGCCAGGGGCGACGCCAAAGGTGTTCCATCGCAGATCCGACACATCCGCGCTGACATTCGAAACAGTGTGTATATATACATAAAGAGAGAGAGAGAGAGAGAGAGAGAGAGAGAGAGAGCGATGTATATATATATATATATATACATACGTGCACCTATATTCATAACTATAATGAGGATGTTTTCTTCTTCGAACCGTTTCAACCAGTGCATGTCCATCGTGTGGCTCACAGGGCAGCCGCTGGCGAAGCCGACGTACACGACGGTGAGGCGCGTGTGCACGCAGGTCTGCCGCAGGGCTGCGCACTCCTCGGCCTCGCGGACCAGCTCCCGCGACACGCTTCGCGGGTGCTCCAGCCACTCCTGCCACGGGGGTCTCCCGGGCGGGGCCATTGCGGACGGGGTCCCCCTGAGATGCAGGCGCCACGCCTCCTCACAACGAGCGGTTCTGTCAGGTTTTTCGGGCGGGCCCCTGGCCCATCACGTGTCGATCGGGGCCCGAGAACGCAGCCAAACGGTGGGGTCTCAGGCTCGTTCGCGAAACGGCGCGCAGTGATGTACATCTTGTTGGTGACGTCGGATCACGGGGTGAGGGGATGTCACTACCTGGCCGATACATCGGCGACGCTCCAGCGATGCATCGGGGACGTCAGGGTGGGAACATATGTGGAGATCCTCCGAGCACATCTGCCCTGGCCCAACTTTTGGGAGGCCTGGATGCTAGCAGGCCCATTTACACACCCTTGTGCTGACCCACCGCATCCGACTAAAGCTTCCCACCCCTGTGTAAAACTCCATAAGGGACTAAGCATAGCAATTCGCCGGCCCAACGGGCCAGGGCGTGCTAAGATCTCCGGTAACTGGTTAACAGTATTAACAGTATTTCTAGTTCGCGCGCGCGGGGCGGCCCCTGGGGGTCCCCCAGCGAAAAGTACCCCGACCAACGCCCGGCCGCCGCCCGACCAAGTCTACTCAGAGATGGTTTTCCTTCTGGGTGCGGCCTCTCAGGCTCCCCAGAGCGCGCTCAGAGTGCCCCAAGAGGCCCCCAAGACTGCCCAAGAGGCCCCCGAGACGCCCAAAGAGCGCTCGAAGACGCCGAAGATGACCCCAAGACGGCCCAAAAGGCCCCCAAGACAGCCCAAGAGGCCTCCAAGACGCCCCAAGAGCCTTCCAAGAGGCCTCCGAAGAGAGCCCCAAGAGGCCAAAATCGTTGATTTTCATTTGTTTTTTCGATGTTTTTTGTGTTCTGGCTTTTTCGGCTTCCGGACGCTCCAAGACGGCCCAAGAGGCCCCCAAGACCGCTCCAAGACGGCCCACGAAGCTCCCAAGACGGCGCCGAAACGACCCAAGAGAGCCCTCAAGACGGCCCAAGTGCCGCCCAAGACGGACCAAGAGGCCCCAAGACGGGCCCAAGAGGGACTCAGGAGGGATACCGAGAACTCAAAAATGGAGCCCTCCGTCCCAGAAGGCGCCCAGGAGGTCCCAAAGAGGCCCCAAGAGGCCTCCAAGAGGCCCCAAGATGTCGCCAAGAGGCCCCAGGAGACTCCCAGGAGGCCCAAAAGAAGCCCCAGAAGGCTTCAAACATGTCTCCCAGGCGCCCCCGAACGGCCTCTCAACAGACCCCAAGAGGCCCCCCAAAGAAGCATCTTGACGACGACTCTATTTCGCCCCATCGAGAGACGACCCCCAGGGAACTGCTTCACCATCAAAACTCCCCACGCAACGCGTCCGAACGACACCCGCCCCCAAGAGCGCAACATGGGCAACGAACACACAGACAAAAACCAGCGATGCCATATCACGGGCCGGCGGAATGAGCGAAGCGATTCATAATACTTTCAGGACAAGCCGTCGGGTGTTAAGAAGGTCGGGGTGGAAGGAGTGCGTGTATTGGTCTGCGATTGGCGACGGATCGGACAGGCGTCACATAAATCTATCGATCTGGATCTCTGCAAATACCTGTCCACGCCACGTATCAAAAATTGATCGTGCTATCTTGCTGTTTGGCTATTCACAGATCTCTCCACTCTTCGATCTTACCTTCAATCGGTCGACCTTACTATTGACACATCGGTCGAATATCAACTTCTAGACGGGACAACCATGGGACAATCACGTCGACACCCGGGTGACAGCCACGGGCAACCTCGCGACATCACGAACAAAAACTACGAGACAACGACGGGACAACCACGAGACAACAGTCACGGGACAACCGCAGAACATCCACGGGACAACTGCGACACAATCACGGAACAACCACGGGACAACCACGGGACGACCACGCCACAACCACGGGACAGGCACGGAATTCCCACGGGAGAGCCACGGGACACTCCCGGGACAACCTCAGGACAACCTCGGGACAACCACGGCACATCCACGGCACATCCACGGGACAACCACGGGACAACAGCTGGACCACGGGACAACCGCGGGGCAACCGCTGGACAACCCCGCAACGACCAAGGGGCAACCACAGAACAAGCATGGCACAGCCACGTGGCAAGCACGGGTCCAGGGCGCGACGTGCAGGGGACAGCCGCGCGAAAGCCACGAGACAGTCTCGGAGCAACCAAGGGGGCAACCACCGAACAACCACGACAACCACGGAACAACTGCGGGACCACAGCGCGGCCTTCATGGGACGACCACGGGACAACCTCGGAACAACCGCAGGACAACCACGGGACAGCAACAAAACAACCACGCAACAACCAACCACGGGGCAACCGCCAGACAAACCCGGACACGACTCAGACCGCGGGGACAGGACTTCTTTGGGCCTGCCCGGGCATGGCTAGCACGGAAACTTGTGCCACTTCGCTTTGCTCGCGCGTACCTCGCGCACAACACGAAGCGACACCGACACCGATTTCCCGGTTCAGCTCCGCTTAAGGTCTGTCTCGAACCCCAAACCTCTGATGCGAGCATCCCGCCCAGAATCGAGGTGTTCTTTTCGTATCTGGGACCCACGGGGCTCTGGAGCCCTTCCCCCGGGACGGGCTTCTCATCCCGAGCCGTTCTTGGACGGCCCGGGGTCAGGGGTCCCTGGGGATGCCGAAAAACATCCCCAAACCGTCCGTCCTGATGTTTCCTTTGCGGCGCGAAGGAGCCTGGAATCGGGACCGAACTAGGCGTGGTCGCAGGGTCTGCCCGCCCGCCCGTCCTCCGCTGGGAGCGCGCCGCCGCTGCTGAGAAGGGACTCGCTCAGGCGTGACAGCAGACGGGCAAGCAGGTGAAGCCTCAGCTGCCCAGATCGCAGTGATGTGTGCCGCGTCTGTCTCCGATGTGGGCTCCCTTCTGCTGCACGCCAAGAAGGGACCCTGGGCACGAGTAATAACCTGTGGTGTGCGGCTTCAGGGGCCACGACAGTGGGGCCAGTCCCGGGAGCGCAAGCCAGCACTGGGGAGCACTGGAGGGGGGATCCCTCTGGGCCCGCACCAAAGGTCACTCCTGTTGAAGCGTCACTCTTAGGTGTAGCCGATTCCTGGGCCCGTTACCGGGGTCCCAAGACACGGAACAACGGATCCGGGGCCCTTGCTCCGCGGAGCGGGTCGGAACCCCTGGGGCCGCGGAGGAGAAAACACAGACCGGCCGACGGCCGGGTGCACGCAGGAGCGGCCCTGGGCAAGAGCGGCCTCGATGGGGCGGCTTCTCGCGGGCCGCAGAAGGGCCGCGCCCAGGGCCCGCACCAGAGGCCCCTCCGGCGAGCGGGCCCCCTCTTAGGAAGGCACCAACTATACACCAACACCGATCCTGGGCCAGGATCGGTGTTGGTGTACAGTTGGTGCCCTCCGACCTCTGCCCGCAGCCGACCTCCTCCCCTTCTTATACGTCCTCTCCCCTCGCGCCACATCACAGGGCCGAGGCGGAGGGCTCGGGGCTCCTCGTCGGCCTCCTGGGGGGGCCCCTGCCCGGCCGGCCCACGGGTCCTTCCAAGAAGCTCGAGGTGGAGAACGGACCCTTCAACAAAAAGCTCGAGGTGGACCCTTCAAAAAAAGCTCGAGGTGGAGCCTGGAGCGTGGACCCTTCAAAAAAAAAGCTCGAGGTGGAGAACGGACCCTGGAGAGGCGGCCCAGACCTCCGAGGCCCACGCCTGCGACAGAGAGCACGGCGCCGGCAGTCCGGGCACCCCGCGGCGCGCAGGCAGGGCGCGGGTACCTCGGGCCGGCGCTGCCGACCCAAGGCATGAGCGGCCTGCTTTTCTCTTGACTCTCCGGTGGCCGTCGCCTCCGCGCCGCCCGCAAGTGCGCGCAGCAGCGGCGCGGGGTCAGACGAAACCGGGGCAAAGATGCACATCGGACCAGAACAGTTTAGCTAGATCAGCGAGAGCTGGCGGGCTTGGAAGATGTAGGGCGCCGCGGCTGTTGCAAAGCGCTCCAGAACGCTCCGACAGGAGTTGCGGAGCGCTCTGCGCTGACCTGCGGTCTTTGCCTGGGCCTGCGTGGCTGGCATGGAGCAAACGCGTCCTGATGGGGACCGGGTCCTGGACCCCGGGGGCCCGCCCCCAGGACGGGGTCTTCCTCTCGAGTCGTTTCCGCAATCCCAGGGCCCGGGGTGGGCCGAGGGATGCCGGAGGCGGCGCGAGACCCCCAGGACCCGTCTCCCTCGGGAGCCGTGCCCAGACATGCGACGTCTTGAAAGAATCCGTTCGAGCATGGCCCCCTGGGCTCCGGGAAGTGTTGTCGCATAAACTGCTTGGGCCCAAGAGGGCCCCAAGACGAGCCTCTCGGGCCCTCCAAGACGGTCCCAGAGGGCACTGAGTCGCCGAACGAACGCTCCAAGACGCTCAAGATGGCCCCCAGACGGCCCAAGAGGCCTCCAAGACGCCGAAAGAGGCCTCCCAAGAGGGCTCCAAGATGCCGAAATCATAGTTTTTCCGTTCAGACTTGAAGGATTTTTAGCGTTCTTGCCTTTTCGGCTTCCCGACGCTCCCAGACGGCCCTAGAGGCCCCCACGATCCCAAGAGGCCTCCAAGAGAGCCCCAAAACGGCCCTGGAGGGCCGCCCCCCAGGATGGCCCAAGCGGTGCCCAAAACGGCCCAAGAGGGCCCCAAGACGGCCCCAAAAGGCACCCAAGAGAAGAAAAACAAACCGAACAGCCGAGCCTTCCGCCCAAAGAAACCCCCAGGAGGTCCCAAGAGGCGCACAGGAGGCCCCAAGAGGCCCCCAAAAGGCCCCCTAAGAGGCCCACAAGAAGCCTTAGAGAGGCCCCGAGAGGCTCCTGAACGGCCTCGAAGAGGCTCCAAAATGCCTGCAAGAGGCCCCCGAGAAGCCTCCCACGAGATCCCAACGAACACCCAATAGCTAGGCTCCAGACCAGCAGCCCAGGTACGGTGGCGGGATGGGCCGAAGGCCGTTACATCCGCCGCCCCCTGCTTGCAGGGGTGCACGGCGTGCTGGACGAGCTGTCAGGTTTTGGTTTTGGTTCTTTTTCCAAAAGAACTCCCCAGTGGGCTCCGGCAGAACCCGCCACCGTGCGCAAAAACGGCCGTTTCGCTCGGGACATCCTCAAAAAATCGCGAAGATGGCCCAAGATGGCCTCCAAGTCCGCCCGAGATGGTCCAAGACGGCCTCCAAAACGGCCCAAGAGAGTCCAAGACGGCCCAAGACGGCCCAAGAGGCCCCCCAGAGGCCTCCCAGACGGCCCAAGAGGCCTCCAAGAGGTCCTCCAGGAGAGTCCGAAGAGGCAAAATCATTGATTTTCCCTTGGTTTTTGAAGGATTTTGGCATTTGCGCCTTTTCGGCTCTCCGACGGCTCAAGACGGCCCAAGAAGCCCCCAAGATCGCCCAAGAGGCCCCCAAGAGAGCCCCCTGATGGCCCAAGTGGCCTCCAAGATGGCCCCTAGAGGGCCCCAAGACGGCCCAAGAGGCCTCCAACACGCCCAAGATGGCCTCCAAGACGCCCAAGATGGCCTCCAAGACGGCCCTGGAGCGCCCCAAGAGGGTCCCCCGTTGGCCCAGAAAGGCCCCCAAAACGGCTCCCGACGGCGTCAGACGTGCCAGGAACCCACCAAGATGGCCGAAGTTGGCTCGAAGCTGGCCCAAAAGGGCCCAAGAGGCCCCCAAGAGGGCCTCCAGGAAGGCCAAAAGATGCCAAAATCACTGATTTTCCCAAGGTTTTTGATGGATTTGGGCATTTCCCTTCTTTCGGCCTTCCGACGGCCCGAGACGGCCCAAGAGCCCCCAAAGATCGCCGAAAGATCGCCCAAGAGGCCTCCAAGACGGCGACGATGACCATCAAGACGCCCACGTGTTCCCCGAAGGCTTTCCAAACCGATTCGGGGAACACATGGTCCGATGGCTTGGCAGGTCTGGCCTCAACGTTCGGCCACATAGGCGCTTCCACAAAGGCAGGGGGCGGCGGTGATTCGCCGTAGGCGTCTTCGATAGCTTTCCGGTCTGGGGCCCGCTTCTCTGATCATTATTCCAGGCGTCGCTGCGTGCACACGACCCCTGGCAATTGCTCGGTCACCATCCTGCACCGCAGGGCCCCCGAAAACCCGACCCGCTCCCCCAGGCCGGGTTGTGGACGGCCCGGGGGCCTGGCGGGGGCATCCCCCGGGGCCGAACACGGCCGAGAAGCCTCGGCCGTGTCTGCTCTTCTCACGACGCGGGCCTGCCTGGTCTTTTCCTCCACGGAGACCACTGCAGTGACCGCTGCGACTTGCAACAGCTGCAAGGTGGTTGCAGCCCACCTGCATGGCACCTGCAGGTGGGCTGCACGTCAACCCCCAGCTGCCCCAAGTTGGGACCGCGCCCCCCTCAGGCGGAGAGCAGCAAGAGGGACTTGCAACCCACCTGCGGGCACCTTGCAAATGGATTGCAACCCCATTTGGGGGAAATCCCATGAGGCCGATACCGCTCCTCCCCAGACCTCTCCCGGGGGCGCCTTCAGACCAATATTTCGGGGCGAGTCTAGCGCGATGGCGGCCAGGGCCTCCCGGGAGGCCCAAAAATGGGGCAAACGAGGCAAGGATACCGGTACGATTGTATGGGTACCTTCTCCTGCCCCGAACCTCCTGCACCTGCTGCAGATGCTGCAAACCGAACCCACCACTACAACAGGCCTGTCCGCCGGGGACCACTCGACTTGCCCGTCCACTGGAAGGGCTGTCCCCGCACGCCGCACTCGCCCACTCGGCGTGGGCCCCCCGCGGCGCTGGCGCGGCCGGCGCCCCGAGCTCGAAGAGCAGGCCCTCGGGGAGAGAGGACGAGGAAGAGGCCTCCTCCTCGTCCTCCTCCCCCTCCTCCCCCTCCTCCTCCTCTCCTCCTCCTCCTCCTCCTCCTCCTCCTCCTCCTCCTCCTCCTCCCTCCCCCTCCCCCTCCCCCTCCTCCTCCTCCTCCTCCTCCTCCCCTCCTCCTCCTCCTCCTCCTCCTCCTCCTCCTCCTCCTCCTTGGTTGGAAACATGAAGCAGGAAGGCGTTGGAAGTAGATTGGCCTTCGGCCCGTCCCCGGAAGGAGGGAAGAGGGAAGGCCGGTCGACCCTTGAGGTAGGAAGGCGACTACAACGCAGATTGGGACCTGGGGAGCCAGAAACACCTGTACTTCCAACGATCGACGTGTAAACCTCCCGTTCCCAGACATGTGACGTCCTGATGTTGTCTATACGCCGACCCTGGCAGTCCCAACACGTTCCCCTGGACCGGACCAGCTCCTCATCCTGGATAACGGTTGAACGTTCCCGAGGCCTGGCGAGGGCCTCCCGAGGCCGAAAAAACAGCCGAAAACCCGACGTCCAGATTTTTGCGCGACGCCACCCTGTCTGGGCTTGCACGTCGCGAGGAACAAAAATCGGCATCGGATCGACGTCTGCGGCTGGGCCCGTCCGGCGGTCCCACGCGCGGCGGCTCCACCAGAGCGACGGCGCATCACGCCGCGTGGAAACGAGAGCGCTGTCGCGCGCGACGTGGCACGGGCAGCCTGCGCGCCAGTGTCCGCGCAGTCGACCCGCCATGCGCGCCGCTCGGTCGGAAGAAATTGGCTGCCTGCCAGACCACCCCAACCCAACCCGATGATCCGAATTTCGGGTTGTGGGGGGCGTGCGGGCTTCATACATTGTTTTTCAATGTTCTCCGACCCCCTGACTGGAAATGGAGTCAAAGCGGGGCCTTCGGATTGGGTTGGGGTGGTCTGGTGGGCGGTGAGGAAGTGGGCAGAATCATGACGTCGGGAGACGTCGGAGTAGTTTGGAACAAAAACCGTCCCCTGAATAGAAAGGCAGAGTGACACAGGCGCCTGAAGTATATAGATTAGGACTTGGAATTCAACAGACTCTACTTCCCACGACACGCGTGTACGCAAACCGAGATGCGAAAACTTTGTCCCCGCCCGACAGGGTGGGGCTGTCAGGTGTGAAGCAGAAACCCCCCGCCTGCCCTGGGTTGCTACCCTCCCTCTCGTTCGCGACGGGCGACGGGTGCATGCCGCAGCCGCCAGGTCCTAAGGAGTCCAGTGCTCCTCAGGCCTCCCGCCTCGCGCTTTCGGGCGGGAGGTGGCCCGAAGCAGCAACGTTGTCGCAAATGTCGGGCTCTTGCGAATCTGACAGTCTCGGGGCCGTCAGCAAGAGAGGCTCGGGACGAGGCAACGGTCTCGCACGAGGTCGCAATCTCGAGCGGCTGGCGTTTTTAACAATGGAGTCGTGTATGGGGGGTCATACAGGAGTGCCAGCCGACCCGCCCAGGCCTCACGCAACGAGTGGAACAAAAACATTGCACCGTCCGCCGGGGGATATTAAGGTTCCTCAAGGTTCCCCCTTGAGTCACTTCGGCGTCTGAATCCATTCGGCCGCTGAACGGGCGAAACATGACGGGCGGTGTATCTTGACTTCGACGTCTGGGGGCCCTGGGACCATCTGGGCCGCGTGGACAGGTCCCCGAAGGGGCCGCTGAAAAAGGCCAATTGGGAGGAAGTCATGGGAACGCTTCAGAGGCGCTCTCTCTGAAGGCCCTGTTCCGGGAACCGGGACCATCCAGCCCACGCGGACGGGGCCCAAATCTCCGTAAGCCAACAACGTGAAACACTCATGAAGACACAAATCTGGGCGGGGACCGCTGAGAGAAGCGTCCGGCGGCTCCGGTTCGGACCGGCTGCTGTCGCAGCACCGCCATCCCTGACCTGGGCCGTGGAAGGTGCCCTGGGGGGGCGCAAATTTTGCTGGGCGGGCTAAGGAAGGATGTGCAGCCTCTCGGCTTCGACCAGGAGCATGCGAAAAATTCCAAGGCCGGGATGGGTCAGATATGTCGGTGGTGCGTCGCTGCTTTCTGTGGAGTTGATGCCGTTTCAACACTGGCTGCTCCCTTCGGAAGGGGGGATGGCACCAAGGGCGGGCAACGGCTAGGAGAGACGGAAGCGGCGGCTGCTGGGCCCTGCCAGTACCCTTTTGTGTGGTGCTGTGGTATTTTGACTCGCGGACAGAACGAGAAACGGCGCGGCCGCTGGCGCCCCAGCGCGGTGCCGACTCAGTCGGGCGCCTTCGGCAGCTACGCGATGCGGCGCGCAGCCAAGGAAGGGAATTCAGCCACGCTGCCCCCAGCGCAAGGCAAGTTCGCGAGGAGGAGCAAAGCCAGCACGCGCGCCGGCAAGCGGTCCTGCCGACCCAGGGCATGCGCTGCCCATCATGGCCGCCGCAGCGAAGACAGCATACCTGCCAGGCCCGTGCCCGAGGGAGCAGGAACCCACGCGCAGCACTGCGCCGGACCCTGAAGTATCACAGTCGCCTGCAAGCAAAGCGAGACGTCCATGAGCAGCAACAGCAATATTGTGAGTAACACGGGCGAAATTAAAATGAGAAAAAGACGCATACATAAACGTTTGGCGCTACGCGAGGATTTCTTCGAGAGATGCCTATGCGCTCGCCAACGAGCGCCACAAGCAGCCTGTGAACACCGCCGTTCCGAGAAAGTTTGACGTGCGAGTGAGCGGACGACCTGGCACGTAAGTGTTCCTTGCCAGGTCCGCTGTCCCTCCTTGGGGTGCCGGTGGCGTCTCTGCAAACGTGTCATGCCAGCTATGGAACAGCTCCCTGGTGTTGCTCGCTCCACCCCTCTCTCCTTCCTTCGCCATCCCTCTGTGAGCCTCGCAAAAGGCGCGAGAGCAACGCAGCATGCCTGCGAGAGAAGCAGCCCGACTGCGACCACCGAGCGGCGAGAGAAGCCAGACCGTGCCAGCAATACAATTATGAGCTGGCGGGCGCCACGCGTACGGACAACAGCACGTCGGACCACGCCTGCATTGCCCTTGCGAGCGCCAAACACTGTCTGCACGTGCACAGAATACTCGCGCCTGGAATCCTACAAGGCACCTATGGGAGATCCGAGGAGTCGTAAAATGAGCTGGTGTGAGCCGTAAGGCTATACCTCAGAAGCGGCGCGCTACCCACAGCGTCCCAGAAAGTTGCTGAAGGTTGCGGCGCAAACGCATTGGAACTCCAAGAAAGGCCGCGAGGAAGCGACGTTCGGGCGCTACCGTTTCCAAGGGGTGGGGGGGACGGGGAGCTCGGGGGGAAACACTGGCCATCGCTCGGACGTCCATTTCCTGTGCCTTGTCCGGCTTCGCGCGTGGCTTTTCCGCGAAATGAGAAAGGGTGCTCCGCGATGGTCCTCGCCGAGGAAAAGACGCACACGTCCGAGCGATGCCGGGAACATGCGCCACGCCCGAGGTGGGAAACGACGAACAATTTCACGCGGCAGCGCGGGGGGGACGCAGGTGCGAGGGTGGGCACCGGCGGGGCCGCGCCAGGCGCGGGGCGCAAGGGCCGCAGGACGAGCAGGGCGGCCGCGGCCGCGGAGGAGTCGGGCAGAGCCCGACCGCCGAGGATCCGCGGGTAGAGACGACGAAGACAGCCGCGCCTGGCGTCGCCAGACCCCATCGGGCCAGAGCGGCGACGCTGTGCCAGACCGGCCCCCTAACCCGCCACCGAGGGTACAGTCATCGGCCTGACCTAAGGAACGATACATAAGGAACGAAGCCCCTTTTTTATCCCAAGGAATAGCGCACAAGGAACGATACATAACAAATGACGCATCAGGAGCTGTAAAGAACGCATGCGAGCCGAAGGAACGACCGAGCCCCTTTTGAAAAGCAAGTGTTCCTTCTTCGGGCCGCTCGCTGTACACTGCACCAGAAACCCCCCTTGGAGATTGACACTTCGCACCCCCTCTCTCTGCGGCAGGCGGACGCTATAGGGCGGGCGCACCGGCTCCGGGGGGGGGGGGGAGCCGCGACCTGCAATCCGCGATGCTTCGCAGGTGGATCGGCCCCGGGCCGCCCCCGCAGGCGAATTCCCTCCCGCTCCTGCGCAGGGGCGGGCTATAAAGCGCCCCCCGTCGGCGAGGAGGGGGCGAAGGGGGGCCGAAGGCGTCCCTTGGCTCTGGGCGCCCGAGTGATCCGGGGCAAGTCGGGTCCGGGGTGACTTGGGTTGGGATTCCCGAAGCAGGAACCCGAGTTGGCCCTGACCCGAGTTCCCCCTGCTGATTTGGGGCTCTGATTGGCGGCCTTTCGGGGCGAGCCGGGCAGTCCTGGAACGCTGTCGGCGCAGCGCAGCTGCAGTCGCACAGACTGCGCCCTTGGCGCGCTGAGAGTTTCATGCGGGCGGCGGGCCTTCAAACCGTGAGCTCGCCTGATCCACGCGCTCGGCGTCGCGTCGCGCAGATGTCTGCCTCGTGTTAGAAAACCAATGTTCCTGCGCGAGAGCTCAGACATCAAACTCTGCAGGCTCCCCGCCGTCGGCCATCTACGACAAAGTCAGAGAAAAATCGAGCCCCAGACCTCGGGACCGAGCTCGCGCTTCGAGCCCCCAGCCCGCCCGCCTCGCTGTCGTCCTCCTCCAGCGGCTCGTCCTCCCACCGCCCCAGCCGGCTGGCCGGCGGCGCGCGGTGGCAGGCGCCGCTCCCCACCCCTGGAGGCCTCCGAGATGGGGTCCGAGTGGACGGGGTCGAAGGAACGCGCCGCAGCGCCGATGCATCGGCGATGCATCGCCGATGTATCGGCGATGCATCGCCGCCGTCGGCGTGGCGAAAGTCGGGCCCCACATGGAGCCGCATCGCTGATGCGTCGACGATGCCGCGCGACCCGCCGGCCCCATCTGCTCAGACCCTGAGCTCCGACGCTGCAAACAAAAATGCGGCATCGCAAAAGATGACGCCCAGAGCCCCGGACCCCATCTCTCTGAGCCATTTCTCGAGCCGCATCGATCCGG